GACTATCATCTGGTTGCTGTAAAAGGAAAAGTCAAAATTGGACTTCTAAATTCCTTTAGCTTTAAAATAAGCAAACAATTCATATTGTTTCTGTTGGGTTATAAGCAATAATACAGCTTGACCTCGGTAGAGCAGTTCCATGCTTCAGTAAGCTCAGTTTTATCTTGTCCTCTCTGTGGCCCTGTAGAATAAGCAAGTAGGTTACATTCCCAGTGCACATGGGTAGCATGAGGCAAAGAAATGCAACTCGTGTAGGTGCTTTGAAACTTGATTTTTTTTTTTTTTAGGTAGCAATTGAGTTTGAAAACTCATATGTTGATTTTTTTTTTTTTTTCCCCAAGATAATAGGGGCTTAGAGTTACAAGATGTCTTTAAAATGGGATACAAGTCTTTTTCATCTCTAAATGTGCTTAGTCCATGTCCTTTGTATGGAGTGGGAAGGCTTCCATAGTTTATGCTTGAGGGTGAAAGTCTCCCCTGGAGCCTGTAGGCACTACACTTATTCGTTATTTGGCAGCTGTCACCTTGGTAAATCAACTGCTGATGCTTTTTTTTTTTTTTTTTTTTAATTTTTGTTAAATGAGGAAAGGGGTAACTTTTTTTTTTCCTGAAAGGTATGTTATTTCACATAGCAAATGGAAGTTAAGAGGAATTCTGTATGTGGCTTTCTAAAACACATAATCATTGTTCAGTACAAACTTGTACAAACAGAGGAATGGGATTTCTACTCTACTGAATTACTGTGCTTATAATTTTTAAAAAAAATCAAATGAACTGTCTTCTCTATTGTGTTCTGTATGAGTCTTCAATCCACATAGTTCATAATGGTTTCTTCACTTCCAAATAGCTGTTTCTTCCTAGTGGTAGTTAAAACTACCACTGGTTTATGTGAGGTTTTTGAATATTAGCTTTTTTTCATTTTTTAAGAGCCTATCCACATGCACTTTCTTTAGATTGTTCTGTTGTAATGACAAATCCTCAGAGAATGTTCTTAATGCAGTTAGTTAATGAAATACGGACATTTCTACAACTAAAGATACTTTGAGCTTTTTTTTCTCTTTTTTTTTTTTAATCTAAGAGTACAGAATGCCAGGGAGTCTTTCTGTTGTTTTTTCATTTCTTCGCTAACTTTCTGAACCAATAATTCACCTCCTTTGAAATCACTTATATTTTAACAAAACCTTAAGCTTTAATATAATTTATTGGCAATCTCTCAGTTTTTCTTAGTGTCAAAGTATTGAATGAAATACAACTGAACCCCCCGCCTTTAAGGGAAGGAAAAGAAGTGATTACTAGAGTAGTTACTTTTTTGATAATTACATCAAAGTGTTTCCAGGGTGTACCACTAGAGGGTAGTACTCATTAATAGATTAGTTTTCTAAAACTAACAGATTTAGGTTAGTTAACAGAAAAGTTTTCTTGTATCTGCAAGTTTTTAGACTTTCAGTTTAGATAATTAATTCCCACTGTCTTGGAGCAGTATAAAACAGAACAAAACAGGAAATGTGAGGCAGTTCTAAAATACTTTTTTTGTATGCTAAACCACTCTTCATCAGTATTTTAGTAGTTTTCGGGAGTATGTAGCGTAAATACCATCAATAGCATGGGAGTAGCTGTACTGAGAGTGGGAGTTACTCTGCTTGTTTTGCGTAGAGAAGTAGTATTTGGCTTTTGGTTAGTAAAGCAATAATCCTGAAATTGCTAGTATCATTCCACTTGCATTTCATTTTTCCTGTTTGATTCATCTATTATATTTTTACCAAAGGCCAAGAGTTCCAATCCATATGTCATCCTTAACACAGTATGGCACTAAGTCAGTTGGATTCATTAGGTAATGATCAGATAAAAAATTGAAGAGATGTGATTATTAATAATAATTTTTGGCACTGTTTTTATACAAATAAAAAAAAATCCATAGTTCTCTGGAGATCTATATCTATGATGAATCATTTTCTATTTCAAAGCAGTAATTAATTGACAGGATAAACTGTTACAACAAGCCAGTTTGGCTTTCCAGGTTGAATTGAATCATTAGGATACAATTAATCTAAGCAATCTCCTATGTAATTTATTAAAAATCTCAGTCGACTAATCTTTATTCTTGACGGTTATGCTATTGTGCTTTGCCACTTATTTTAATTTATTCGTATTTGAGACACCTGATTCTACTTGATAAAGTAACTTTTTCCCATTATATGTTCATATATATTTGAAATTATATATTCAAAACATGCTGATTTATTTATATGCTAATTTGTTTATGTGGTTACAAAGAGTTGTAAGACTTTTTATTTTTTTGATCTTCTAGTTGGTCGAATTATGTTTCAGCTCTTCTCAGATATATGTCCGAAGACTTGCAAAAATTTCCTTTGCTTGTGCTCGGGTAAGTAATGCTCCTAAATTTAAGGATTCTGGTATGTTACAATTGTTCGTTTGTGGTAGTGACAGCAGCATAATATGGTACTGATGATTTTCTGATATAAACAGAGCTAGAACTTGTTAGTACTGAGGTGGTTTTGAAGAGGATACAGCAAGAAATTGTTTGATATTCTATGACGGCTACTGAGTTAGCATAATAGAAGTAATGTGATTGCAGAAAAATTGTGAATTTGTGGAGCAAAAACATATCCCTCCTTAACGTGGGTGTCCTTTAGTTATAAGTGATTGATAAGGAGGCAAATGGAACTTTAGGATTTAATCAGGAGAGACAGGAAGTACCAATGTCATGGTACAGTACGCCGACACTTGACTTGGGATGCTACATAAAATTTTGATTGCCCTTATTCAAGGAAATAATAGTCAAAGTGCTACATGGTGATCAAAAGAAAGAAGAGTCCCTTAAATCTGAGGAGAAAGCTTTTCCTTTTTTAGCAATATGAAGGACTGAGTATGATGATTTCTTACAAATCCTATGGGTTGTTTGGTGCTTCTTGGTCCATGCTGCTCCTCAGAGATTTTGCAACTGTAAGCTGATGCTGAGTCTTGATTAGGTTAAGTGAATTAAGTGAGTGTTATGTGTTATTTGTAATGCAAAGAACGCATTCCATGTCTCCTGATGACCTTTGAGTCCTGGGTACCTGAATGCTCAAGGGCTTGCAGTTTACCTTAAATCGACGGAACCGACAAACCCTTGCATATGAAATGTATAAACCCTTGTGTATGAAATAACTACTTTCCCCACAAAGTTAAAACCTCTCCAGCTAGACCTTCTAGGCAGCATTTCAACATCTGGCTTTTGTGAACCGCTTTTGGCTAACTGGTTACGTGAAGCAAATGTCTTGATAGTATCCCTAATGTGTTCTTTAAAAGTTCGTCCTCCCAGTGCTCAGATCCCAGAATGTGCTATGTTTTAAATAGCAGTAATAAGAATTAGAAGAGCCTAATAATACTGTGAACTCATGGAGGAGATGGTAGATATCTCAATTTTTGAGGTGCCTGTGGTGGTGCCCGCTCTCTTTACTCCATTCTCCGGTTCTTAATTAATTATACTTACTGAAGCATCACCTAGAGGTAGATTGTGAATGGGGAAACAACACTATGACTAACACAGAATAAAGGACAGCGCTTTCAAAGTGCGTCTTAATTGGACGAGGTAACAAAAGATGAGAAATAAAATGCAGTATCAGACTGAATAGCATGCTGTCTGTGAGCCTCATATTCAGTAGTTCGTTTATTTAAACCTTTACAATAGCTTTGCTAGAAAGGGGTTAGCCGGAGATAAAACAAAGGGAGGAAAAGGTGTTGGAGGTCATGAGGAATGAAACTGAAGTAGGCACTCAGCAGAATAGAGAACAATTTTTAAAAAAAAAAAAAAAAAAAAAAAGTCAAAAAGCAGCTTGGTATCTTTGTCTTGCATCCCTGTTTGAATTCTGTTCTATAGGTAGCTGTACAGGTTTCGTTGAACCCCTCAGCCAGAACGTGTGTTTAATTGTGCTTTCTTTCAAATGCTTTTCCAAAGTCTTGCCTACTGTTGAGATGAGACTAAAAGGCTTAGAGCTGCTTGAGACGTTCCTTTTCATTCTTGTGTTTGCTATTACGGGATCACTTAATGGTACTGTGATTTGACAAACATCATTAGAGATTTGCTTAAAAAAAAAAAAGTGATAACTAAATCTAGGGTGGGAGGGAAAGATGCATATAAAGGAGCCTGGTGAGTGGAATGTTTAAGAGAACAGAGTTCATTTCTTTTGCTTGTAGAAGCTGTGTCTCTCTGGGATAGTAGCTCCCAAGTTTGGACTCAAGATTGCTGAGCTTTAAAGGCTTGGATCACATGGCTAACGTTAATTCTTTTCCTGTTTGCCCTGATTACACTACTGTTCAGTTTTTCTTAGTCCCTTCCTATCAACTGTTCTGTCTGCATTTCTGCTTCTCCTTAACAGTTTTTCCCAGCGTGTTTGTTACTGCTAATTTATCCATGTTATACATGCCATTTTCCCTGCCCTCCTGCCTTGTACTGTCAGTGTCTCTACTACCTCAGCACCAGACTCAACTCTTCATGCAAGAATGCTATCTGCTGCATGATAGCATGGATATGAGCTGTGGCCAGGCACAGAAGGCCAGGCAGTTCTTTGGTACATGCTTTCACTCTGTCCCCATGGATGGGCATGGGCATTCCAGTTAGACTACTACTTCTGTGTCCACCTAGATTATGTTACTACACCTGTCTTTAGAAGAGCAGTAGTTCTGTTGGAAGGTGATGATCACCCACTGGTAATAGTGCTTTGACCTCAGGCAACCAAAACTTTGACATGTGAAGGATGACTCTTCATTTTCAGAGTTGTGAGCTGATAAAACATCTTCAGAGGCCAAATGAGTCACTTGTTTCTGGGAGTCAGGCTCTTCTGACTCCTTCCACTTGCCACAGCAAGATCTATTATTAGGAATTTGATCGTTGTGAAAGTGTGGGTTGCTGCCAGGTGTATCTTTTGTCCTTATCTCTTGGTCTTTGCAGGAAGTCTTTGAATCACTGCGGATTTACTCGATGCAGCGTCCGTTTCTGGTCATAGACTAGGGCTACGCATGTCTAAGGAGATGTTCAGTTATCCCGTTGTTCTAGGCCATATAGTCTAAGTATTGGAATATCTTACCAGCAAACTGTGAGCATTGTGCATTTTCATACTACTTAAATTCAGGACTCTGCATCCTAGGCCAATATGGTATCATCTTTTTGTTTACAGATAGATAAGCACCCACCTGCCTTCTAGCTTAGGAAGGCATTATTGCTGCCTGGCACTGTGTCCTCACTCACGCTGTTAACAGTCCTCAACTTTATTTGGACTCTCCAATTCCATTTTTTCATTGTCAACTCCATTTTTGCTTTCTCAGGGCAAGGTGATATGCCCCGAGAGAAAGATTGGAGACTAGTATTTCAAATGCTGTGCCCATCTTTATGCCTGCTGCTCCCTCCTCAATCTTTATGAGGCAAGCCAGGATTATGTTTTTGTCAGAAACAGATGGAGGAGGACAGGGTGATTCTGGCTGCCTTCCTGCAGCCTGACATTGTTGTCAGAAATAGACCTGGCTTCTGTGAAAGAGCACTGCCTTGACAGCAAGATGCTTCTTGCATTTAAATTAAAACATCTGGACCTAAACTGGCATGTGTAGCTGCATTGCAGACCCTCCAGTCAGTCCACCTGTCAGATAAAACACAAGCTCATCTACTCTTTGGTACTTTCTCGGGAGCTTCCCTTTGTATAATCTCAACCAGAGACTGTTGTGGGCACGTAACGTAAAATATCTGAGATGAGGCTGGCAGTGCAGGGTGTTAGTAGACCTCAAGGCTGACGTTCACCCGCCAAGGGAGACTGGCAGTTTGGTGAAGGCCCTTATGTCGTCTCCACCTCAGAGGTCTCCTCACATAGAGACTGCAATGGTTATTTCACTGTATAAATTCTCATCCGTTCCTTTACGCAGTGGTTTGTGGCACTTGAGAAGAACTGTTTAGGCAGGGAGAAGGCAACTATATAGGGCTTGAAAAGCACTTAGCAGTTTAGGGGACAGAAGACTGCAGATAAAAAGGAGATGCCGAACCGTGGGTGTGTGAAGGGGACAGCTCTTGTCTATCTGCAGGTACTTTGGGGAGGGCCATTTTCTAGCTTTACCTGGGTATAGGTTAAATAGAGAACCTCCTGTTTTTTTCAGGTCTTCCCTAGAAGAAATGACACGTGCCCAATTTGCTGTGGGCTTACTTAACACATATCTATCCAAATGCAAGGCCGGACCATCCTGGTGTGTAATTAGGGCTACCTCATTTACTGTGTGCTTTTCCGGAATTGTGCTGTATGAGAGACTTGACTCTCTTCCTTGTGTGCAGTCGTTTCATACGTAACGTTTATTCTGATAGAGGCTATCCTGTCCTGGAGATGCTCTATAAGAGAGCAGAAGAAGGGACTACAACGTCTACAACTTCCAGCCAGGGTTTAAAGCTCACCTTTCAGCACCAGCTGTTCATGTGATCGAGTGCAATGCTGGATCCAACCCTGTAAGCCTGAGGAATATGCTGAAAAATGGTCAAAATTGTGAGCAGATGCTTCTTGATAGTGATGATTGTGAGCTTTCCAATGCTGTACCAAAGAGATTCATGTTTGTGGCGGGGTGTCTAGTCTTATAACACCTAGCTTTGCTTGGATAGCTTCTGTGGAAAATGAAGTAGGAGTGGGTACGGGTTATGGGTATGGAGAATCAGACTGTTGGAAAATAGGTTACATTCTGTGACTGAAGGCTTTTGTAAGTACAGTAAACAACTGTACACGACATGGATCATGACGTGATCCCATGATTATGAACTGCTCTTTGCTCTCATTGTGGCAGCTCTATGCTGTCTAAAATGGCAAATTTGGAGTGGTTTGGCCGGTAGTGAGTATTGGGTGGAGGAACAATGAAGGGCAAAAGTACTGGCTCTGAGTAACTAGTGCCTGTAGACTTCTGAGGGCGCTTAGTGTCATGTAACATACTAGCTGTATGTTTTCTGACTGAGTAGCAGATACCCATGCTAGGATTCTGCAATGTCTGTTTTTGTGATGTCTCGTTGCAAAATATCTCCTGCATGTGTGGCTTATGTGGGATTTGAGCTGGTGCACAGAGAATTGTACCTACTATTTTTGATTGCTGTGCTCTGCAAGCTCCCCTCCTCTTGGAAGCTAGAGACAGTGTGTCTTGCAAATGTTTGTGGGCTGTGGGGTCCATATGTATCCCTCAAACAAGCCAACTAGCTGGGCCTCTGCCCTCCATGTGTCCACTGCGCCGCTGCTTCTGAATTTTGGAAGAGGTGTTAGTGAAGCTTGAGGCTCTGGGATGTCTTTCTCAAAAATCACCAGTAGGTTTGATCTACTGCTGCACTGCATGTTTGGTGTTTCACTTCTTGGGAAACATCAGGCTCTGAAGTACTCCTGCTACTGAGTAAGAACAGCACTGGTACCAGTTTAGCATTTGGTTTTCCATCATATTTCTCATTCAGTTGGTCCTGGAAAGGTCACTGTATGCACAGTCCTTAATTTTACTATTCCCCTGTTGTTTTCTACCAGTCTGCGGATTCATGTTGCTATTTAGATTTTGATAGAATCAAAACACTGATCCTAAACATTCCCTTTGCAAACGTTCACAGGGAGACAAGCTTTCTCCTCAGTTCACATAAGGGTACCTCTGCCTCCTTTCAGAGATGGGAACCTGTTTTGTGTGAGTTATCTTACTGAGACAATGAGGAAGGGTTGGTGCAGGGCACTGTGCATGGTTTGGTAAGGATGTGAAGCATGCTTGGAGTAGCTCGATACCACTTCCCCGAGACTGGGTTGCAGTCAAACTGAGTGGAAGCCCGTTCTCCTGAGCTCAGGTTTCTCTGTCCTGGGATTCAGCTGGCACGCTCTAATTTGTAAATTGTTTGAACGGGACTCCAGCGTTAGCTTTAGCTAACGTAAGTGTAGCTATAACAACAGAAAATAGTTAACCCATCATTTTCATGAATTTATGTTTTCTTGTAAATTGTCCTGAGTGAATTGTTAACTGACACACTCTTGAGAAGGAGGGGAATTTCTTGGAAGAAACCTAGTTTTCACTTGTGCGTACTTGAGATGTCCTTTGCAAAGTTTCCATTATTAATGGGAGGAGAAGAGGCAAAAAGCTGGACTGTCTTCGTCTTTTTATGGTTCAGTTATGTTATTTTGATGGCTCTCTTATTCCTCGGCACTGGGTGGGAAATCCTTGAAATTTGTCCAGTGACAATCTGTAGATTATCTTTGTTTAAACTTCTTGCAGGTGAAAAAGGACTCGGAAAAACAACCGGAAAAAAGCTGTGTTACAAAGGCACTACATTCCATCGTGTGGTTAAAAACTTCATGATTCAGGGTGGGGACTTCAGTGAAGGTAAAATACGTTCTCAGTGCATTCTTTAAAACTGAAATGTCTTGGAACAGAGATATTAATCTATAAAGCTATAATGTAACATTAGAAAATTACATGGAAGTATTAAAATGCCATAAAATTTTCATTTGTTATAAACTATAGCACAAATTCTCAATTCCCTTGTTAATTTTGAAAATTAAAACTTAATTCTTACTTAGAAAGAACCAAGTTTAAAAAAAATTGCTGGAGTTGATAACGCTTATTTTAAATCCAAACTGTAATCTTACTGCTTCACTTTTGTTGTGCCCACACAGTAGAGACAGTACTAGTGACGCTCGTTCTTATTCTATTTATTAAAGGGACATAACTGTTTGAATAAGTGAAACAAGGAAATATGCTAAAAATACTTAATGGATGAGTCTCCAAAAGCAGATTTTTCAGGACTTTTCTTGTTTCCATCCCTCTGACAAGTGCACAACTTAATGTTTCTGTCTGTCTTCGTTCCCCAGAATACCTGCCCTTACTGAAATGTCTCTGTGGTCTTTACTGTAACCTCAACTCTTGTAACTGATGAAATGTCTTTTTTGGGTGGATACCTTGTCTTGAGAGTCAAGTAGAAGAAAAGAGGATGCCTTTGAAAGAACTGTTAGTTACTTGCTTATCTTATGCATTGTGGTGATCTGTCTGTTGCTCTGAGCAGAGAAAGCTTATTGGTTATACTTACTGTTGTCTTTTTTGCTTGCTGTTGTACTTGCTAAAGCAGCAGCAGAAGAAAATGACAGTGAGGATTAGCCTTTGGAGCCTCACTTGAGGTGTTTCGGTGTTCAGAGGCACTAAGGCAGGGTTCGTTTTCCGTGTTGGGAGTTTCAACAGGATAATGAAATGTATCACTAGCACAGTGTTGCCTTACAAACTTGACAGGAAAATACTGTTAGACAAGCAGTTTGTTAAATCTGTTAGTCTTGTAAATCCTATTTTTATAAAATGAAAGGTTGCCCCTTTTGAGGTGGAAGTGCTAGGATATTAGTGCCTGGCCAGAGTATCTTGGTTTGGTGTAAATGGGTGGGATAGTACATAGAGCTTTATTCATAAAGCAAACACAAAGTTTAATTCACGCTTTTTAATGTGTAGGTAATGGAAAAGGAGGCGAATCTATTTATGGTGGCTATTTTAAAGGTAAGGGCAAATATATCTTTACAAATCCTTGATTCAGTTCTGAGATAAACAAGTCTTGATTCCCAAGATACTTAATGAGAAGAGGTCTACTTATAGATCACCTTTTGCATGAAACTAATGCTGCATGAGAATTATTTTTATATGCATGACTTTCAGATAATTTATTTTGTAATATTTAACTTTAACTGACAATTAATTAAGGCTAACATTATTGGTTAAACATGACTTTCAGCATGGAGGTTAGGCAACTTTATTCATGAATAAACTCCTATCTTCCTGCCTAAAACTGTCAACATATTCTTTTGTTTATAGAGAATGTGGTCTTTTGCAAAATGAAAAGGTAAGACATAAAAGCTCAGTAACACAAATTGAAACTCTGTTCCCTTGTACCCTCCCTAGTAAATATGTAGACAACTGATACGTCCGTTTGTAGATGGATATCTGGGTTACTTGGAGAAATGAAGAGTTCTGTCTAACCTTTTTGAGGGTTAATGACTTATTCTGAGAAAACATACTGGCATAATTTCCAGTTCTAAACAGTTATTTCTTCTTTTGTTAATGTGCCTTTCCTCCCCTTCCCCATTCAAGGTTTGTATGCTTAGTGTTTGTTTCTAAGAATGTTTGACTTTGTTTATATGCTACACAAGTTACTTTTATTTACCAAATCTTTGTAAGTAATGTGTATGTACCTCTTAAAAATCTGACATTGGAAGAAAATAGTAAGTTTTAAAAGTATTCAATACTCTAGTGACATGCAATTTTTTTCTTACAAAGAACGGGAAGTTACTATGGTATTCCAGTGTTAATAATGGCGCTGTACATATTTGACATCCTACTGATATGTATGTTTTCCAAGTAGCTCTGTGTGGTTAGATGCATGCTATTAAATTTGTCTGAAACAGCGACAGAGTTGGATATCAGAATATTACAGCCTTTAGTCAAAAGCAACTCATTAACAGAACCATTTGCTAAGAAGTTATTAGGGTTTGTTACTAAAGAATATTATTGAGGTGGTAAGTGTTTAAACATACAGTATTGTGTTTTGGTATATAATCTTAAAAATAAAGGCTTTGTATGCTTAGAGTATTATTTTTGTCTATGAAAAATCAACTTTATAAGAAGATCCGGTTTGCTTTTGTGCTGCATGACCAGAGGCCCTATTAATTTCATGGAAACAGGAAATGCGTCTTTAGTCTTAATTGTGATTTTACACTTAGGAAAAATACATTCTTTAGTTTCTCATTCAGGTATGGGGGGGGGTGGGGAAGGGGTTTTTGTGGTGGTTTTTTTTTTTTTGCATGTTTTAAGACCTCAGGTTTTGAATTGATAGGTGGTTATCATTTAGTGTGCCATATCAGGAAAACAACAGTTTTACTAGATCTTTCTACTCGAGATGCATGCCTTGTAAATAACAGTATCATGTTATATGAGTTAAGCTTTGTTTTAGGATGGTAATAAAAGTATGCCAACTTTGTTTTACTTCAGAAAATATTGAATGTGTGTATGTATATATGAGGATCTAATGTTTATTGAAGATACTAATAATGACTTTAAATTTTCTTCATCGTAAATGTTCTGAAACTAATTTCTTTAAGAATGAATCTTGTATCTTTTCTGTCTTATAGCTGGGTTTCTACTCTAATTTTTGAGAGATTTGATTAGGTTTAATTTTTGTTTTTTCCAAAATGTTCAAGTTTCTTTAGCAGCAGAGGAATTTCTCCTTGTAGCATCCATATGTTGCTAAGAAAATTAGATTGTATTCTTTGTCAGGGAAAATCTGACAAACATATTTTTTCTTCAAACAGATGAAAACTTTATTCTCAAACATGACAGAGCGTTCCTTTTGTCAATGGCAAACCGAGGGAAACATACCAATGGTTCCCAATTTTTCATGTGAGTAGATGTAATATGACAGTTGAGCTTTTCTTAAACAGAGAAGCGCTGTTCATGAGAAAGATGGTATTGCTAAATTAACTATAACAATGTTATCCACCTTATTTCAAATAGGGTCAAATGGGTACCTGCAGTATAAGCTGTGACAGGAAATATGAGATATCACCATTTGTTTGTGGCGTTCATTTGGATTGGAAATTAATACTTCATCGATGTTACTTGTTTATTACTTTTTTTTTAACCTAGAAGAATGGGTTATGCTATTACTTTTCTTAGTGTCTAGAAAATAGATTCTTTGGCTTTGTGTGTATACCAGCCACAACTGGGCAGATTATCTGTGAATTATGATCCTGAGCATTGTATACTGAAGGCAGTGAGATCTATGGTAGAGATGGTTTATATAAAAGTTTTGTATGCGCTCTTTAAAATATAGTGGTTTATGGGTTTTTGTTGTTGTTGGGTGGGAGTGTTTCTGTTGGGTTTTACTTCCTTTTGGAGTGTTTTTTCCTGAAGTGCCTTTCTTCTGCATTGCTGCATAGTGCTCTTCAGAAGGGTATATCAGTTCTTTTGGTCCTAACCTGTGTAAAACGTGTGCTGAAAAATCAGATTTTCCTGTATTATATTAAAGAAAAAAATCCATTCTGGTATATAGCCACGATGTGTTAAACTGAAGTAAACACTTGGCTGTCTATCCTGAGTAAATATTAAACATTGAAACAATTTTACATGAAGCAGGTTGTATTCTAGGCTCAATGTTAGTATTTTTGAACATTCACATGAACGTTAGCCTGTTTAATTCCCTTTTAAACAGTTTTTCTGTTAATGTTTCACAGTTTGTATCTGAAAAGATCTGTTTAACTTTGGGCTTTTGTTGAGAAGAGCTTTCATTATGAAATAATACTGGTATTTTCAAAATTAAACTTTAGTGTATTTGCTTAACTATTAAAAAAAACCTCTTCTTTTCTTTGCCATCTTTCTTGGGGGCTAAGAATGAATGGCGCTTCGCTGTCTTTACTAAAGGAGTAAATTGTCCTGAAGTATATTTCTATTTTCTCTACCTGAAAAAAGATCTTCAGTATATGATAAAGTTCAGATAAGAGACATTTTTAGGTCTCTTCCTAAAGAATGTCCTAAAAATGGAAAATGAATAGGAACCTAAGAGGAAGTCTTTCACAATTACTGTTGTTCTGACTTTCTGTAGAGATAAAATTGTAAGATAAGCTTCAAAAGGTCGTTTGTTCTTACCTTCAGACCAAATTTGAAGTGTCATGTTTCCTTAGAGTAAACTGAAAATACATCCGCACAACCCCACGCACCCCCACACCAATGCACCTATAAAACTGTAGCTTAAAAAGCTCTCTGCAAGGCATTGGTTCACTATTTATTGCTTGGTGACTTATCTTTTGATTCTCTTGTCACAACTTTCCATTTTTAAGCTTATCTGAACAATATACATGAAAATTTAATGATGTAACATCAATCCAGAAGCTGTTATTTGAGGGCTCTAAAGTTTCTTTTTTCTCTCCTGCATTTAATTCAAATATCTTTCTCTTTCCCCTTACATTTTAGTAGCCTCAACTTGTTTAATTAGATTTAACAGACATAAGCGCCTCATCTCTCCCCACATCCTGAAACAGCCTAAGGTTGTGTTAAATGTTAAACTGTAATTTACATGTGAGAGCAAAAATGAACTGTGTTTAAAAATACTTTCAAAATACTTTTGGGTTTGGTGGAAGGTGCAGGTGTTTTTCAGAAGTTCATTCTTCTGCCATTTCTCAAAATTGCTGTTAGGAGAAAGTTTTACCCTCCGACTGAATTCCCACCCAGCAGTAAGACACCTAAACGTAAAGCTGGGCAGGATATTGTAGGGTAACTCAAAAGGCACAGGATGCCTGTATCTTGGCAGTTGAATGCAGCCCTGACTAGCAGTTGAGATGCCTGACTTACCTGCAGGTGCCTGTCTTTAAGATGTTCAAGTTAATACATTTAAGCTGAATACTAGCTTTGTCCTCCAGTCCTGCAGCTAGCCCTAGGGATTTTTGTACATTTACAGAAGCTATTTGGAAGCCACTGCTCATAAAGGCAGATGTGTGTGTGTGTATATGTAGTCTGTTGTAAAGGCAGGTTCTTGTTTGATAACACGATTTATAAAGAGGCAAGGATAGATAGTGTGAAACACACAGTGCAATATTTTGCCATGTATAGAGTCACCCCCCCCCCCCAACTTCAAGAGTAGGACTCAGTTTCTGTTCCATAACATAGACCAGAACTCTGGTCCATACTCTGGAGAGTATGACATTTGAGACTCAAAGCAGGAAAAAACTACTAAGGTTTTTATCTAGACAAACGGCTTATGATTTTTAACTTTAAAATGCAGTACTTTGGAGTAATTACTCTTTGGTGATTTTTGGTCTGATTACTGTAGGGAATATACTGTGCATCGGTGTAGCTGTTATTTTTTAATAAAATGTATGTTTACTTTAGTAATGTACTTTAAGTTGGAATTAAAGTGTTTTTCTTGTACTCCCCAAGAATGCTCAGTTACTCAGTAGTTTATCAGTAGGAAAAATGCTCTTCTAACATGTGAACTGAAAATTAGGTGAAAGTCTTCAGGGGCTATTGTCAGTCTCTAAATTTGTTCATACCATTAAAACTCATTTCACAGAATCACAGAATCGTTTAGGTTGGAAGGGACCTCTGGAGATCATCTAGTCCAACCTCCCTGCTCAAGCAGGGTCGCCTAGAGCACATTGCCCAGGATCACATCCAGACGGGTTTTGAATATCTCCAGCGAAGGAGACTCCACTACCTCTCTGGGCAACCTGTGCCAGTGCTCTGTCACCCTCACAGTGAAGAAGTTTTTTCTCAGGTTCAGACGGAACTTCCTGTGGTTCAGTTTCTGCCCGTTGCCTCTTGTCCTGTTGCTGGGCACCACAGAGATTAGATAGTGTTATAGAAAGGAAATTGTTCGTCTCTATTTGAACTTTTAAGTTTTAGATTGCTGTTTGCTTTTTTTTAATGTAGTCCATGAATATCTTTAGAGATAACAGTTCTGTATTTCTCTATCCTACATATGCTTAAAGTTACTTTCTTTTATATAGTATTTGTCCAGTTGGAGCTAAAATAATATTCAGAATCCTGAATATAACATATTTACTTCCTCTGTCAAAAGTACCTTCCCTGCTTAGCCCGTTTGGAATGACTAGTCTTTGCAGAAGCTAACAGGCAGCAAATATCACTTTGACAGATTGCAGCAACAATTTGATCACTGTACAGGGCAGTATTCTATGCAATGTCTGAAGATCATTAAAGCTGAGCTCCAGCGGTCAGTTTTATTTGCAATAGAAGCATCAGACCAATCTTGACGTAAACAAGCATCTGACCAGTTCTAAAATACTTGCAGCTTTCTTTGATTCGTCAGGAATTTTTCTGGCATGGATGAGTTTGTCAAAGCGTTTATAAGCAATAGTAGAGAAATGGGTATGGAAAAGGTAGCTTAAGTAAGGTTAAGAAGCTTCAGAGAGACTAGCTTAAGAAGAAAAAAGATAAAGCGTTAGCAGAAATTGGCAAGTTGGAGAAGTAGAGTGAAGAGTGCCTATTTGTCAGAAGTGCTACACTGAATTCTCGTTGACTAGTTTTTACCACTTTTTTTGTTACTTGAAAAGAAGTAACAATTAGGTTGAAAGAATTATTTGCTAGGAAGGCAATAATTCTTCAGCTAATAATAATAAATAAGAAAACAATAGAAGTTAATATGCTTTTCACGTACGCACCCTTTAAACATACCAAGCGTGTTCACATGTGTGTCTGAGAAACATTTCCTAGCTAGAAGATGTACGTGTTATTGAAATCTAACAGAAAGGGTACACGGACTGTCCCTTTATGCTGTTTGGATTTGTGAAATATTGTGATTTCAACTTTATGTACCCAAAGGGATTTGCGGTAGCATTTTATTATAAGTTTGTGGTAAGGACAATTGTAGAGGACTAGTTTACAAATTAGCTGCTGATGTTCTCAGATAGCACCAATATTAAGTTGCTTCTTTTTTTGAGTAACTTCTTTCAGAACCTTCAGTTATCTAGCAAGTTTTCTAAATATCTTTGGAGTTTGGTAATCCTTTTTTTTCCTTGTCTAATCCCCTTGTTGATATTTGAATGTTGAACTCCTAGGATAGGATAGAGGACAGCAGGAGGAACACTGGAATAATCTTCCTTTTTGTGTACACTTCAATGCCTGCTTTAACTGCTGTTGAAAGAATTCATTATTATCATTAAGAGGGGGGGAAATGCATCCGGATCATTGCACAACTGTGGCTGATATCTTTATGTGCATAATTTAGAGCCAGAGAGATTGTAAAGCTGGCCTAGGATGTTTCAGTTCAGTGGCTGTATTACTGTGTTGGGCGATGATGTTCTTGAGCAACATGTTCTGCTTCTCAGCAGAGCTGTCAGAGATGTCTTGTCTGGTGAGAGTGATCCGTTGTGCCTATGGCTATACCCAACCTGCTAGTAAGAAAAGTTGCAACGTGAAATAAGTGCAACTCTTGTGAAAATACTACAAATGTGTATATCAAGTAGTAAAAATACGTGAGCCTACTGATCATACAAATGCTTTTACATGTTTAACTTTGCTTCTGTTAAGTCATATGAAAATCTATCAAGCTACCCTTACTAGTAGGGTAGATATGTGAACGTGTAGAACAAAGCATAAAGAAAATGGGATAGGAGGTGGAAAAAATAGTAACCAACCTCTTTATTATCGTTTAGAAGCTTCGCGTAGTAATTAATTTATTACCTTATTACTTAGCCAGTTAGTTTCCTGAGAATCTATCATTATTACATCTTGGAGTCAAAAGTTTCACTAACTTTTGTTAGTGCAGTGCAAACGTTTGGAGTTCCTGACCCTGTGTTCAAATCTGTTACGTAAATTGACACGCTATTTAGCTGTTACTCTTAGCTTTTTTTCCCCTGTATTGAGGGTATTGTCAGTTTAACATGTCTCTCAAGAGCTGTCTTGCTGAAGACTAGATAGCTTTTTTTGTTTTTAAAAGTAAAAACTAATGTTTTTAATGTATGGTGTCATGCCTCGTTACCCAATTTAAATAAAACAGTTCACAGAGGCTAGTTTAACGAAGGGTGAATCAATTATGAGGATTTTGATTTTGTTTTTACGAGTGACTTTATGAACATTATCAATATATTAGAAGTGGTTCATTTCTAAGTCTTTTCAATATCCTGAAGCATATATTTGTCCAATCAAGAGTTAGTGGGTTGTTTTTATCCACCATGAATAGAATACCTTTGAGCTGATTCTTCTGCAGTTTACAATTATAAAAGAGTGAACTAAAAACTTCAAATGAGAGAGGCTGATGTTTGATCTGTGATCAAAAGCTATGTAAACTGGTGTGCGTGCACTTAACATGCAAGCAGTCCTGTTGGCTTAATTATGTGCTTATGAAAAGTACAGTCTGTATAGAAGCATTCACAGGATGCCTGTTCATGTCCTAAGTTACAAACAGATCATTTATCTGCTCAAATATGCAGAGAGATGATTTAAAAACTACCGATGTATGTATAAGAATCAGTACAATTCAGCTTAACTGATGATATGGTTTTGAAATAACACTTCTGTTCATAATTAAACCAGAACAAAAGCATAGAAATTTGGTGCGTGTGCTTGTCTCTTTCCATCTGCGCAATTTGTTTTTTCTGTCATTCTGAACGCAAGCAAGGTAATAGACATGTCTATATTTTAGAGAAATCACCTATTTTTCTTGTTTTTTAAAAAGTTTCATAACACAAGGAAGATGTTAGACAATTGTGGAACTTACGAAATTGGGGACTTACTGACTTATAACACATTTCATTTATAAATCTAAATGTTTCAATTATGGAATGCGGTCCCATGAAGTATATACTTAGGAACAGATTCGGTAGAGTATTCGAGCACCTATATAACTTGCAAGCATGTGAATAATCCCATTGAAATCAGTTATTCATTTGCTTAAAGTTGTGCATGTGTTCTAGCACTGTTACTGGTTTGAGACTTTCAGAGGGGAATGGGAGGATTCTCTTTTCTAATGGTTTATCTTTGTAAAAGGGTATGCAAGCAGGTTATGTCTCTAGGTTTTTTGTTTTCAAAGTGCCTTATATTCTAAAGAAAATTTAGAGCCCTCTTTTAGGCATCCTTGTTCTGCATACAACTTGATTAATATTAATTTAAAATTTGTATTTAATAAAACATAGACTCAGTTTTGTCTGAAAATGTATTACAATTTATTTCTGCCATTTTTGTGTAAAATTTACAGAAACAGTGTTACATCGTGCGCTCCAAAGGTAATGTCTCATTCCTCTAAGGCTGTGTCCTTTCCTTTTCTTCTCTTTCTGTTTTTCTTTCTTGTATTTCTGATCATATTGTTATGTGCATTGAATCTTTTATTAGGACTGAGGTTCTTGGGAGTGGGGAATAGCATCTTTTTTATCAAAAAGATACTCTCATCAGCAGTATCCAACCAATTTACCTTAATCTTGAGTGAATAAAGATAACGATCTTTCTGCAAATAACTTGGACAATAGTATATATTATAAGGCAGACTTTGAATATTTTAAACTATAAAAGTTATTTTATCAAAGCAATTGTAGGGATGTGATTTCTTAGGAGGAACTCATCATAACTGCGTTTCTGAATGCAAAAGTATTAAGTAGGTTTTCTCCTGAAGAAGTCTTGAAATCAAAGTAAATGATCAAGAATAGACAGGTGGAACACTTGCATGAGATTTTGAGGTGGTCTTCTGAAGTGGAAATGTTTGCAGAATAATTCTAATGTTATAACCCTAACCTTGAGATGAGAAAACTTTCAAAAGCACAACGAGGAGTTAGGTTTCGGCTTCCCATAGGAAGTCTGTTAAGTCACCTAACTCCTTTTCATGCATTTGGGAAAAGTTTTTCTCTCGAGTAATGTTTTTCCTTGTGTTTTCATTTCATAAACAAGTAAATAAGAAAAATTGTATCTATTTTGCCTATCAAATTGCCAGTGTAACGAAAGAAACCTCTAAATGACTTCTAATGCTACTGATTGTCTCCCTCCTTGGTTGTTGAGGACAAGTCTAAAGAAAGTATGTGCTTGGGTAACTTGCTGAATTGGTCTGTAAGTGCCACTGCTGCACGGCAGGAGCGCATTACTACAGCACTATATTGTGTTGAACCTGTTGCTTTCTCTAGCTAATTCTAAACACTAAGACTTATTTACTGTTGGTTTCACTGAAGCAGCCCACTTCTATTTTCACTACTTAAAATCAGCCTTAAAATTAAACCTGCTTAAAAATGTTTACTTGACAGCAGGTTGTTAATGCAGTTAACTTTTGCTTATAGATTTTCAAAAGCTGTAAGAAATTTGCTGTCTGTAGCAATATGCTGTATTGGTAAGAAGAAAACAAAGTATACAAACTACTATTGAGAGAGAGAAATAAAACGTTCTCTCAATACAATTTCTTTCCCTGTGTTAAACTAGAGAAGATTTCTGTAGTATTCAGTATTACAGAAGTGGAAGGTCTGGTTGATGTTTGGAGATGAACAAAATTAGAGTGTAAACACTCCTGATTTGCAGTTCCACCTTTTGGCATGCATTCCGACACTGCAGTGTTTTGGAATCTAGTAATTCAAAACTAGAGTGAAGGCGTGTGCTTAAGAGTAGCTTTTCAGTGCTATAATGAAATACTGACTTCATTATCCCAAGTCTGCATCGTTACAAATTCAGAGGAAGTATCTAGACCCCGTGATTATTTTTTAAGGGAGAAGAGTGGGAGAAGACTAGAAAGACAAATCGGTGACCGGGGAGGAGAGGGAAAAAATGTTTTCAAATAATTAAATAACTTCAAAGGCAAGTCATCCTGACTTCTTCCCCCCATCCCCCATATATAAGATTAACACAAGTTCTGATGTCCCTTAGATTTGTCTGTATAGCATGGTTCCCCTTGCAACATTAATGTAGCCTAGCCTAAAGAGCTTGGATGAAAAAGTTGTGAGAGTGTTTCTGAATGCAGAAGTAATTTCCTTTCCTCACTGGAAAAGGATTTAGAGAGGTACCAGGTGTTAGCATTATTATCATAAACTTGAATCTTAAAATATAATTATAGATGCACAGCATTGAATATTCATATTTGAAGTCAAGTCAGAAATTTGGCATAGCTTCAAACATCTGTTAGGCTAACATACAGAATGTAATGCACTGGGATTTCCCCTTCAGGCTAGAAACAGCCAAATGTGGGAAGCCAAGAAATAGGGAAAGGGATAGAGGAAGTCTCAGACTTCATTCATCATGGAAGCAAACCGTAGAGTATCAATACTGTCTGCTTGTATTGTGCTGGTGTTATTTTAGGGAAGCCTGTGAGCTTATGAGCTGAAGTACTGTAGTCTTGCTGGTTAAATATAGATGTATTACTTTGTATTCTGAATCGTGAAGCCAATCAAGTAGATGGAAAGAAAGAAAGCGGCTCTGTTTTCCTGTTCTTTTTTTTTTTAATAGAACTGATTTTAAGTGACTATCATTTCAGAAATGTTTAAATTCTAATAGCTAGCCAGGTTTTATTGTAAATTTGTACCTTCTCTGTGATAAAAATAAGTTAGATATATTTGAGTGTTTATTTAAATACATTTATTTGAAGATTATCGCATGCGTGTAATGATATTTGGTAGAACTTTCAAGTGTGCACAGTTAGCTAAACTTAAATTTCATGTGAAGGTTTAAAAAGGGACCTATATATGTAATTTGTAAAGTTTTTATTTCCATATATGTAACTGGATTTTTTCACTTTTTTGTCTTACTTTCACCTTTTTATTTTTCTGTGCCATTCTCCTCTCTTACTTCATCTGAATCGCTGATTTTTTTTTTTTTATCATCTTACCATCTTGCTGTTTGTCAAACAGAACAACAAAACCTGCTCCTCATCTTGATGGGTAAGCGTCCTTTATAGTTTCTCCAGTGCTGATAAAGTTCGAAGATTGTTCACGAGTCTTCACGTATCATATAGAAAGTAGACAGGAACGGGGAAAGAAATACCTCTTTCCATGAAAGATTATACAGTAGAACTAGATAGAAAACAAAAGCTCGTTTTGTTTCATTTTTGTTGAAATTTCAAATCATAGTTTGTTTTCTAAAAGCTGGTCAACAGCTTGAAAGGTCCTAAATTTCAACATTCAGTTACTTAAACTCGTTTGCTTCTCTCACCCAATAAATCATTGAGTTGAAATGTCGTGTTTAATGTATTTGAATAGTACCTTTTCCGTTCATACTATCCTCAAAAATATTAGTTTCTGGAAGTACTAATTATGGGGCAAATGAAGAAGAAAAATGTGATGCAATAGAACAGAATTAGACATACCTCAGTTATAACTCTCCCTGACATGTCAGTAAGGGCTTG